CGATTCCCCCTGGGGACAGAGGATATGAGAAACATGATGGGGACACAGCTCGAATGTGGAGCTGCAGCTTGGGGGAGGCACAGGTACCCCCCTGGGGCACGCTGTGACTGCTGAGGTGTGGGGATGCGGTGCCCGGGGCAGTGCCAGGCAGGACACCCCAGCATGGGCAGGGACCCACATCCAGCCCACGTCCTGTGACCCCCAGGACTACCTGCAGGAACCCACCTTCTCTCCCTTCAGCCCCACGAGGCCGTGAACGCCGGGGTCCCCCTGGAGGAAAGGCAGTGAGAAATGTGACCGTTCACCCCCAGCACCCACCTCGTCTGCAGCCACTTTAGCCCCTTCCCTTCCCCCCTCTCTGTGCTCAACAGGGTGCTGAGGAAATCAGTGCAGAAAGTGCCTGGTGCCAGCTCCAGCCCAGAGGGGAGTGCCAGCACAGTTAAACATGGGTGTCAGCGATTCCCCACGGATCCCCCAGCCCGGGCAGGAGGGTGATGTACTCACAGTACTGCCTTTGGGACCAGTTTTCCCTGGGGAGCCCTGGAGAAAGGAAAAGGGGGGGTCAGCTCAGCACAGCTTCCCTGAACTGGACACCAGAGCAGCCCACCCCCTGCAGCCAGAACAGTCACCTTGTCTCCTTTGATTCCTGGCAAGCCTTGAGGTCCTGGGATCCCTGGTGGACCCCGCTCACCCTTTGGCCCCTGGAAATCAAGGTAACATGGGGAAGAAGAGAAAAAGGAGTGAGAAGAGGTGGTGGGAAGACCCTCCTGCATCAGAGCACCCTCCTCAAGGCAATGAGATGTGCAGGCAGCTCCCAGCCCCTCCAGCATCCCCACCTGCCCCCCATCATCCCAACCTGTCCTGAATCCAGCCTCTGTGGAGGAACAGGGCAGAAGGGGATGGAGAAGCCTCCCCTTCAGCCCTGCCAAGAGGGGGCTCTGCCAGGGTGGGCCCCTGTCCCCCAAGAAGCCAGATGGACGAAGGTCACTTTGGGGCTATTTTCCCAACCTGGGAAACCCTCTGAGAGGGGCTGGGCAACATCCCTGCTCCCAGCAGGCCAGGAGGAAATTCCTCTCCAGGCCGGGGCTGCAAACCCAGCGTGGCCCCAGGACCACTAATCCCTGAGCTATTTGCCCCAGCATGGCCCCCAGGACCACTAATCCCTGAGCTATTTGCCCCATCAGCTAATCCTTGCCCCGTCGGGACAGACCCCGGCGGGGATCAAGGGGAGGGGGGCGGTGCCCGCCGTGCCCCCTGCCCCTCCCCATCCCACCCGTGTTTCCCAGCCTGGCCGTGGGGGCAACTCACCGTTCTGCCCTGCTCGCCGGGGGGGCCCACGGGGCCACGCTCACCCCGGTCACCCTGCAGAGAGCCGGGAAGAGAGCAGAGTCAGGGGC